TTTCATTCCTGGAAATTTAGTATATTTTAAATCTACATACGAGTGCTTTATATTGGAATGTAAAACAGTGAGGCTCTGGACTAATATAGTAACAGTCAGAGATTTTAAACTGTGCTCAAATATACAGCAAGGTTGTACATTCCCAAATGCCCAGCATACCTGGCTCCTGCCTACTAGTTTCTAGCAACACCCCTCAGTCATCGTGGCCCCTGAAGGCGTCCCTGGAGGGTCTGTTGTTTTTATATACTCTGTTCCAGGCCAACACACATTTTCTGACATCATTACAGACTCAGCAGAATAAGCTCTCCTTGTCTTCTGAATCCTATGGTTCAGTGGTCCTAGCATCCTTATGGTATTTAGCCAGTTCTGGTGTGTGTCATAGATGAATGTGTGATGTCCCTCCCTCATTCTCTCTCTGCTTTTGACTATTTCCCATCCTAAATCTGTCCTGTTAAATTGGTTCCAGTGTCTTCCAGACAAGGGCATGTGTGGTTGCTAGGAGTGCTTTGCTCCTGCATGTGTTCTTATGTCTCTGTATTCTTGAAGTTGGCAGCACTGTCCGTGTTTCCATCTGCAGTGTGACAGTTATTATTCACTCTGTGTTCTTCCCCGCTGATGAGTGAGGTTCTAGTTTCACTACCATCACCCTTTCAATTTTACTCCACCCCCAATTTTGCTAAGGAAGCCAAAACTCATTTCTATAACTATTTTAACTCTATTCAATAAAACAGAGCATTAAATATCAGTTACAAAGGGAAATTTCAATCCTAGAATTTTCATGGGAGATTTCTTAGAAGTGAAATTCAAAATGGGCCCTAAGAGATTAATAGAATTGGACTGGGTAGGGAATTTTGGAAGAAAATGAATTTTTTTTCCTAATAGTGGAAAAAATATTGTACCAGCAATGACTGGCATGCTGGCAGGATCAACACCGGGCCTTGTGATGAAAGTTAGAGATAAGATCGGCCACAGTAGAAATGTGGCATTTTGCCACTTCTTTGTTCATTGCATTTCCACCGCTCTTTTCTGTGTGCTTTAGCTGAAAATGTCTCTTGCAGCCCATGGGTTGGTAGATACTCAAGCCCCCTCGCAGGCCTACCCCGCACCTGAATTAGATTCAGGTACAGAGACCAACAGTACCTCCTGTCACCAGCTGGGCTGGCACAGAGCAGACCACAATAGGATGTTGTCTGATTCAGAACAGAAACCTGTTCAGTTATTTATGCTTCTTTGCAAAGCACTGGTGAAGTCTTGTCACTTTTTAAAACTAAACTTCATGTAAAATAGTTGGGTATTTCACTCTGTTTATGGTCAAGGTTCTGGTTTCTGTGTTAGTCATCTCCCAGCTCCCAGCCTCCTGGCAGCCATGCTTAATTCAGTTATTGTGTGTTTACAGGCTGCGGAGAATTCCATGTTGCCTAGAGTTTTTCCACCTCCAATGTCCAGACGCTTGGGTGGGGGGCTTTCCAACCATTCTGAGCATTCAGAATCACATTTTAGTGCTCTGTTTGAAGCCATTCATCTCTCTTTTTATTTGCCTGATTCGTTTTGAGCTTAAAGTATGCCTAGTGGACACTTTTGTCCCAACTTAGATCAGAGTTTTTCCTCATTCTGTCACTTCAGAAAGCCGAGGACGCAAGCTGTCCTCCACTTGTGCGGCGGCCACATGCTGGGAGAAGAGGAAGTAAATCTTTGACACTCATTCCAGGACCATTCCTTTTGTTTCTTAGTTTATTCTGCCATCATTTTTAAAAATTAAATGTATATTTGCAAAATATGGTTTGGCAGTCTTTTCACATATTTTATCTCTCATCTCCCTAATCTAATATTTACCATGTTCCCTCTTGTCAGAAAACCCACAACTTTGCTGATTTCTCTTGCCTAGAGCCTTGTGACGGACAGTGAAGACCTGGTCCTTCAGATGTGCGGTGCCTCCGTAGCCCCTGTCATCCTTGTCTGTGTTCCCCTTCAGAGGCCCTTTCTCCCCTCCCCATCTAAGCCTCCAGTCTTCCGTTCTTAATCCCTAATTAGAATTCGCTCTGGTATTTTTTTTTTTTAATTCATACCGAGGGGCATATTGTAGGGAACAGTTGAAGATGTTGTCCTTTTCAAAGTGTTCGCCTATTAACAGAACTTAAAGTCTTAAAAGATGAAGGGCCTCATGTGCCACTGGTAAAGAGGAGTTTTGGAGTCTCTCTGCTGCTCCTGGGTGCACAGTGTGTACACACAGGCCCCATAGCTGAAGCGAGGGGACTTTCAAAGGGCGAGAGTTATCACGAGTTGTTTCCCAGTCTGTCCTTTAATTGAAATAGTGCAGATCTTGTCAGTAATGGTGAGAGTGCCTCACTATCTGTTCAAAGTGCTTAGTACAAAGCCCCCAGAGAACTCATTTTGAAGTGCAAACAGTGAACCAAATAGTGTTGCTCTAGTCCCTTTAACTGTCCTGTAGAGGCGATGTGTATTTTGGAATTCCTAAAGATTCATCACTCCAAACTTTAAAGCACTGAGAAGGGGATTCCTGAACTCAGCTTCAGAGGTTCACGTACTGGTTGCCCAAGTAATACTGATCGTTTCCTTGACATGGAATTTTTTACCTACAGAAGAAGGGAGTGAAGAACAGAACCTATTTCAAAGCCACCTAGACCAAACTTACCCTGAGGTCTGGTTGGGTTTAAGATGACAGTGCCATTTCAACCATGGCCAGAATTCCTATATTTCAGAACCAAATTGCAGCTTTAGCTGTCCCTCATAGACTTTGAGCTTATGTTTCCAAATTTTCTATCTCCTTGGTATTTAAGCTATTAAAGAATTTCAGTTATCAGTTTCAACCATAGAGGCACATGGGCTCTAATGACTTCTGCAGGTGGTTTGGGCTGTACTAGAGAACCTAGTCTTGATCTTCATCCATCATCTGGATTCTGAGTTAATCCAGGAAAGCAGTAAAAATTAGTAATGTGAATTGCATGTCTCTGTTACATGTGTTTTTCATTATTCGGTCATCTGCAATGTAGGCACATACACACATATACATGCACACACAGGAGGGACTATAGTTCCAAAAGGAAATGACTGGTGTGGTGCCTTGAAATCTGAACTTGGTCACATGTTCTGAATGAAATGACTCCAAATGACATTAGCAGAATGTCTTTTCTTCCATCCCCTACAGTTTGGAAAATACTTTGATGAGAAACATTGACTAATTTACAGGCATTCAAATTTAATTTTTTAAGGATCAGCAAATGATTTGATAACCACTGCAGTGACAGCACTTGTGAAAATGGAATTATGCTTCCATAGTAGGCTTAAAGACAACTAGGGCTAGTTAACATGCAACAGCAGCAGCCAGCTGTTCTTCATCTCTGGCCAGGCGGGGAAAGAAATAAATTAGCTTCAACTGTAATAAAAAGATTTTTAAGACTTGTAGTGGGAGATTTATTATAAATGGAGACTATTTAAACATTGGAACAGATACCCAAGCAATAGAAGTGGAGAAATGATGTTTTTCATTAGATTTAAAGTAGACGGCATCATCTATTCACTGAACTTAAAATTGATAGATTATTAGATATGTCTAGTAATTTTTAACTCTTGGAGCAGGGCATCACATTCAGAATATGATGGACTCTGTCTCCAAAAACTGCACACACAAGTGAACTTTTTTATATAATTGTATGGAAACAAGACTGCCTGAAGTCTGTAAATTAAACTCCACTTTAAGACACCCCAGACTAGATGACAGCCCAAAGTCCGTCCTTACTTCCCGAGTGACACGCTCTATGGCTTAGTTTTTCCAAGGGTAGCAATGGAATCTGAAGAACAAAACTTTGTGTTTTCTTCCTCTAGATTTGTGATGCCCAACATGCACTGTGACAAAGTAAAAAGAAAGGATATTAGAGTAGCATTTTGCTTTTGAATTCAACTCTTTCTCATAGAGAAGTTAAATGTTTAGTTTTTAAAAATCACGGGCTGACTTTGTATCATCATCCCAGAAAGATCACATAGAACTGGACCATCTGCACATGCAGCTCCAGATTCATGGATGAAAAAACAAAATCATATGCCACACTGACTCTCCAGCACTTTTCCAAGCTCATAGCTTCTAACTGTATCGCTGTAATTGTTCATCTGGGCTTGGAAAATATTATCTGTTTATAATTGTCTCATCAGTTCTGTGCCCTAGTTTCATTGACTATAAATTGAAAAATGACACCCAGGATTATAAATCAGGGAATAATCTGGCCTTCTCCCTAAAATAGGAAGCTCTCTTCCTCTTGGGAAGTAAGAAAGGAGTATAATAGTATGCTTCTCTATCTTTTAAACTCTTGACAGTGAGCTAGCTCACTTGTGTTAAGCAGGACTGTGTGTGTTTTCCCTGTTTCCTCCCACAGACGCCAGTCCTGTAGCACTTCCGTCAAGCTCATATTGGCAATCTACCAGTACTTGTCACTTTGTACTAGATATAATAGTGATCTCTGGGTAAGAATATAATTCTCAGATGTCTGTGACTTCTCACATCACTGCTCCTAAGGCATTAGGAGTGTAGTATCCTACTGAAATTAGAGATTTTACTGAAGAATAGGAGCTAAGCAGTGTAGGCCAAGGTCTCTTCACTATCCACTTGGCTGGTCCTTTGGACATTGTTCCTTCCCATTGTTGAAGGGAAAAAGGAGGCTTAAGTATTCTTACCTCTGCTGTGCGCTAAATTCCCTTTCTGTTCCAGTGCTCATATCATGGCAGTTCACTTCATGGCAGACACACAAGAAACACAGTGCGTGTGGACAGATGTTCTGTGGCATGGACTATGGTAGTGACTCCATTCCTTATGAGCCCAGTCCTGCTGCAGCTCTGCCTAGTGACTGATAAAGTTCCTCCTCACCCTTGAAAGTGTACCAACAGTTCACGCCCTTAGAGCACACTGATGCCCTTGTGGAATTGAAGCTTATGAGAGATGTATGTGCTAGTGAATATTTATTTATTCCTGTGTATATTCCTCTCTGCAGAAAACGTGATCAATGGGCAGGATTATGAAGTGATGATGCAGATTGACTGCCAGGTGATGGACACCCGGATCCTGCACATCAAAAGCTCCTCGGTTCCTCCTTACCTCCGAGATCAGCAGAGGAATCAAACGAACACCTTCTTTGGTTCCCCTCCAGCAGCCACAGAGGCAACCCACGTTGTCAGCACCATCCCCGAGTCGTTACAGTGATTCTCTGCAGCTAGGCGGGTGAGAATGGGACCTGCCAGGCCCAAGAGCAGGCAAGAGGACCGCTACTTTCCGTCTCCACAGCAGCAGGCAGAGAGCCGCCTCAAACTCCAGTCAGGGAGCAGAGACGGAAGAAACTGCTCCTCTTCCAAACTGCCAGAGCTTGGGTGAGAGAACATTTCTCCAGTGGCAAATGGAGCCTGCTTCCTCCAGTGTTACCTGGTATAGATCCTCCCCACCCCGCCGATGCCTTGTCATTCTGTATTTGTGTTATGCTTTCAAATAAGATCCACTTTGGGCCATGAATTTAGCTCACTGGTTCCGCCGCCTGCCTCACAAGTGCAAAGTCCTGAGTTCGATTCCTGATACAAAAAGAAAAGCAAAAGATCCACTTCCCCTTCTGCCACTTCATTTGTTGATAAAGTGGTTTTCCTTTAGAACTGTAGACCTTAGTAACACAGATGGTTTCCACTGGTTGGTTTTCTCATTCTTTTACTGAAAGCCCACTTTGGATATTACGCTTGAGAAAACAAATTTGAAAACCAGAACAGCCAAGAAACATCCAACAAAGAGTCAAAACTATTTGGAGCTTTGGGTAAAAAGGAATATTCCCAGTTGATAAAGTTAACTATTACTTGGGATTTTTTGGTTCATCTGTAAACAAATAACTGTGCTGGGCATCTGAGGGTGGACCACACATTGGAGAGAATGGAAGGGAAGAGGAAGCTCAGAGGGGAGCCTTGAAAAAGGAGGTAGCTCCATTAATACATGTTTAAAATGTTGAAAGTTTGATGCTGCTGCAGTTTAAGATTAAAGCCACAGCTACTGTGTATTGTCAGGATTCTAGGCTGCTGAGTCCAGCATGCAGACTGATGTCTTCTCTTGACTGATCTGGTGCAGATCCTCAAGGACCACAGGGCAAATCCCTCATTTTCATTTTAGAAATCCTCATGGTACCAAATTCAGCTAAGGTGCAGCAAGAACATTTTCTCTTGAAAATTGACAGGTATTTTTTTCTTAAGATGATACAGACAAGCAAGTTTAGATTCTGGCTGAGGAAGTACATCCTGTATTATGGCAATAATTTTCAGCTCCTCCGGTGAAAAGGCAGTACAAGTTTGAACTCTTGTTGTTCAACGAAGAGCTGTGCTCACTTGCATTTTACTGAATTTTGCCTACTTCCTTTGCCATGGGAGAGTCAAATTATGCTTCACAAATACGGATGTCAGGCAACGATGTCCTCTCTGACAGTCTACCTTCAGTTTCTAAATTGAGTCCTTCTCCCTCTCTATTATGAAACCTTTCAATTCTCTTGATAGAACTCAGTCTGCAAATGCTTCTTTTCACCACAATTAACTTGCCTTATCAGATTTCTTCCCCCTCTATTCCATACTATATCAATTATTTCCTTTTCCTCTTTACAAGAAAAGGAAAGAAAAACCATATCAACCCCTAAAGGACTCCATGCAGTTAGTTCATTTTCTGCCTGTGAGCCAATCAGGCCTGCCTTCTAAATAATTGTAAACAACTACCAACATTTCTAACTCTGGACAGTGGTGCCTCTCAAGCTAGTCAGTTGCTTTCCAAGGAAATCAGTTTATCTTGGGGGTGGAGGGCTATGCTTTATTACCTGCTAACCTGGAGTTTGAGTTAGCCTTCCTCTTTTTCCACATCACAGGCTCTCTTCAATCAGTGCAACACTCCCCTCTGATCTAGCTCCTGGGTGATTTTCAGATAAGAACTATACTCCCTGGTGACTGTTCTTTTAATGGGTACTAAAGAATAGACAGCAAATCCTAAAGACTCTTAGGTTACTGGGCAGTCTTCCAGTGGGATCGCCTACAGCCCTGCTCCTTCCTGTCCTGTAATATGAATTAGCCCAGCAAGAGGCCGTAACTGTGGCTAGCAGGCAGTGATGTCATGGTCATTCCCAAGCCTCTAATCTGCTAGAAGTGTCGTGTGTTAGGGTAGGTGCATAGGATGTATCTCTCCTCTCCTTCGCACTGATTCACACAAGGAGAAACCTCCACAAGGTCTTCTTGTCTTTAGCACTTCGCTCTTCCTCAGTCCTATTCCTAGCTTTTCCTGAAGACTTCAGTTATGTCATGTTCACCAGCATCCTTTCCTCCGTGATGGGTAAGAATGTGGCTGATGGTTGGGAGGTCTGGATGGTTGGCACCCCGTCATGGAGCTGAGTGCCTGGGAAGTGACTGATGCTTGGGAGCAACAGGGACCTTTGCCTTCTGTCATTCACTGACCCCACAGCTCCTTGTTCTTGATCTTCTTTGGGATGAGGGAATAGGAGCCTCCTCAGGGTAGAATTTCAGGAAACAAATGGCAGCTGACAAGTTGCAAAGAAGAACTCAGCTTTCTAAGTTGCTGGCAGAGTTATTATTAATTCCTGGGCACAAGGGTAGTTGTTATTTTTAGTATTTGATTGCCAGCTCCAGGCCCTTTAGGAAGTGGAGAGCTGCTGTGACAGATTAATAGTTAAGCAAGCATTTGAGCTTCAGTTTTTGGCAGCATTGCCTCTGGGGGTGTTGTAGCTGGGAAGTATGGGAGATATGTGAGTGTATATATACGTTATATATATATTAATTTATTAAGTTTCAAAGTGGGATTTTTGCAAGCCTGTGAGAAAACTAGATAACTCACGGGGAAGGAAGTCCACCTATTAGATGCTGTCGTGCTCTTGGACCAAAACCACTATGATGTTGGGAAGAGGCCGTGGAGACCAGCAGCAGTAGTCGTTCTGCCTGTTTGCAAGTCCCAAATTGTTAGGCCTAATGTAAATTAAGTGGATGTTTCCTCCCGCTAACTTCTGAGTCAGACATTGGGGAGTCTCTGTGGGGTTAACTCATGCACCAGTAGCCCAGGCACACAGCTTTGTTAGGAGGATGCCAGTGTGCTCTAGTGAGGAGTTAATGGGAAAGGATAACTCTTGAGGTAAAAGTATTGTTTGCAGAGCTTGTAGTTTAGCAACTTTACATTAGACCACTGGGTGGGCTTTACTTTTTCAGAAATAATAAGTCCTCCATGGTTATAAAAACTCAGAGCGGCTTCTAATTTTTTTTTCTTTACATGACTAAAATTCCCAGGACAAAGCTGGCACCTCTTTGTCTTTTTTTGTTAGCAACTAATAGACATGGAGGTATTTGAGAGCAGTGATGTTACATGAGTCATTCTTCAATGTTCCCAATAAACATTACTTAGAAACATACGAGGAAGTTGGGACTCAAACTGATTTTTCTAGCACGTTTAAAGAAACACTACTCTGATTAAATCTGGTTTGGCTAACTCCCCCGGGGCATATATTCCTCAGTCATCACCACAGCCAAGGCAGCCCAGCAAGATGCTGTTAAACACTTCCGCTGTGGCATTTAGAGTGTTTAAAACTGAAGAACTCTCAAGTTCTTCACAACTTTTAGAATACTTTTTGATTCTTGCCATTTTACTAAACTCAGGTTGTGAAAACTGAAAGAAATGTATCACAGGAAAAGACGTAATTGCATTTGACTCTCTAACACATCGAAAAGTTTCGGAGCAACTTCCACTTTCAATGACATATTAAAAGTAACCACATACACTTTCATAACCTGCAGCACCAGAGTCTGATCCAGTGCTCCCTTTGAGTCTGACCTCATGGAAAGTTTTCATCCTTGAAACCTTTCCACTGCATACTTTTGGGCCGACTCAGCCACCTTCAGCAGATCCATATTAGCTGCGTACGGCAGCTGTGTCAAATAAGATTGATTATTGCCGGATTTGATAGAACTCTTTACCATCTCTGGACCCCGTATCCCTTACCAAAGCCATGTTTCATCTGTCCTGGTCATTTTAATTTACATAAATCAAGATCCTTGCTACTAATAAGAATCCAGTTATAACTTTTACCATAAAATAAGAAAACTTAAAAAGAAAGAGAATGAAATATAAGAATTTTTCATTCTTAACCCTCACAATATTTGGAAGGGGAAATTTCTGTTTTCCCCCTACCTGCAGGGACTGTGGCCAATATTTAAGGAAACAGAAACTGGACTACCCAAAAAGGTATTACCAGAGTCCAGAAGGAACTATGCACAGAAGAGAAATGCAATTTTCTCCTACCTGAAAATTCAAGAGAATTTTCTCCTGACTTATATTTTTAATGACTAATCTTAAAGTTTATTTTGGATAGAACTAGAACTTTCCACAATTTATTCTAATATCTGCGTTATCTTTCATGTGCAATAGGATTTATGGGAAAAATGATAAAAATGTATGGTTAGAAACTTTGATTTGATGTATGAATCGTGTTATGGCTAGCCAGTGTCACATAGTAAACATAATTCTCAGCTAACTTTAAGCATTGGGGATTTAGGACTTTAAAAGACTTAATTATATTAGGCTTGAGAATTCAGAATATAGTTTGTCCTTTGTCAAGTCTAACGAACGCCACACTATTATGTTGTTTGTCCCCAAAGAGATTGGCGACCATTAGTTAAATAAATCGGAGGCCTGGTGTATTCCCTGGTGTGCTAATCCCAGAAAGAGATTAGCAGGTTGACTTTCACAGCAAATGTTTACTGACTGAAATATTTTCATTCATATGGAGCCCTAATTTCTGGGCCAGTCACTAGGATGGAGGAGATGTTGGGGAACAAGTGCTTTTGATGAAGACTATGAAGTGATACTAGCCTTAGAGATACCAGTTTCTTTTTCCCATCATGATGGCAAGGATGGTTTAACTGAGAACAGTAATGCTGTACCCACGCAGCCCCTGGAACCTGAGGAAAGTATTAGGGATGCAACATCGCCAGGACTTCTTCCTTGGGATGTATCCATGCTAATTTAATTTAATAATGTGCTGAGGATGAAAAGGAAGGAGGTGTCATTCTCTCCTTTAATAGTTGTCAGTTTATAATACATAAATGATGACAGTGAACTATTTCATATTTTCAAACAACTCTTTATAATGCAATACCTTTTCTTTCTCTAAGATTCAAATAAAGAATTTTTAAACTTGCTTTGTTTCATTCTATATGTAGAAAACGAACAGATGTCTCTAGTCTGAAGTAGTTAGTAATGGGAAAGGAAGCCTCTACAGGTTTTGCATCTTGTGTTATTCTTTAGATGAAATTGTTGAACTATTTCTTCTTTTCTTCCAAGGCTGGTTAAGTAAAAACTTTCTTTATTGTGTCCAGATATTTGAACTATAATCTCCTTGAGGGAAAACATTATCTAAAAGCTATACTTTTCTGTGTCATCAGGAAGCTGGGTTACTCAGTTTCACATCCAGTCCTCACCAGAGGCCCACTCTCCAGCTTGGAATGGCAAATGCCACCACATGTGAAGCTCATTGCTGCGAGCTGACAACAGCAGGTCCATCCTGGGGTAATTAATGCAGCCATTTACTGTACGTCCAGTGGGTGCTTCAGATGCAGTTTAACTATTTTAATCTTCCCTAAAACCTGTTTCCTAAGAGAGTATCCTCTTCAAGGGCCTTCTCCCAGTGGTCTAACTTCCTGCCACTCATCCCTACCTTTTAAAGGTTCCACCACCTCCCAAAGTGCCACAGGCACATGGCTTTGGGGGATGTTCTAGACCCAAATGGTAGCTGAGGCAAAACTACATTTGTTTCAAAGTACACCTTCATGAACTTATTTAAAAAGCGGACTCTCACATGCACTAGAAAGAAGCCTACAGGACCTTTACAGACTGATGCAACACTGTTAAGTGCTCTTTATTGTCCTAACTCTTCAGTAAAAGCTGATCACACAGATTGTAGCAGTGTTTTGAGGAGTAGAAAATAAAAGCAGGAGAAGGAATCAACAACTGGGATCTCATCTTACTGAAAAGCTTCTGCACTGCAAAAGAAACCATCAACAGAACTAAGAGACAACCTACACTGTGGGAAAAAATTTTTACCAGCTGCTCCTCAAAGGACTATTATCTAGAATATATAAAGAACTCAAAACAATCAGCCCCCACAAATATAAAGACCCAATTCAAAAATGGGCATCTGAAATAGACATTTCTCAGACAAAGAAGTAAAAGCAGCAAGTAAATATATGAAAAAATGTTCCATATCACTGGTCATTCAAGAGATGCAATGAAAACAACACTGAGATTCCACCTCACCCCACAAAGAATGGCTGCTATCAAGAAATCGCACAATAACAAATGTTGGCGGGGTTGTGGGGAGGAAGAAACCCTTCTCCCTTGTTGGTGGGAGTGCAGACTGGTGTAACCACTGTGGAAATCAATATGGAGATACCTCAAAGAGCTAGGTCTAGAGGTTCCATTCGACCCAGCCATCCCTCTGCTGGGTATCTTTCCAAAAGATTTAAAAGAATCATACCACAGTGATATATGCGCACCAATGTTTATAGTGGCACAGTTTGTAATAGCTAAATCTTGGAAACAGCCCATCTGCCCATCTGTTGGAAACTGGATAAAGAAGATGTGGTTTTTCTATAAAATGGAATACTACTCAGCCATAAAGAATGAGAAATTAGAGTCATTCATAGGAAAATGGACACATATTGAGGATGTACTCTTAAGTGAAATAAATAAGTCACACATGTGTAAATACCGAATAGTTTCTCTGGTGTGAAAAACTATAATAGTACACAAGATCCTAATGGGATAATTAAGAGTGTGAAATAGGAAGAAAAGGGCTAAAGGTGTAGGGAAAGTGGGAAGGGTGGGGGAAAGGAAATAAGGGAAAAGAAAAAATATGAGAAAATGAAAAAATGGAAATAAAGAGTTTGTTAATGGGGAGGGGAGGAGGGGGTGAAGGGAGGGCAGGAGGAACAAGGGGAAAATATGAGAACCAAGACCTGTCATATGAAGGTTCAGGATCCCAGTAATGAATGTAACTGTATTTTATACCTAGATTGTACCAAAAAACTCAATAAAATGAAAATAAGGGCAGGGTTCAGTTGCTATCACGAACAAAGAAAAAAGCAGACAATTCAGCAAGACATGCCATTCCTGAGGTGGAAGCAACAGAGGTAAAGAAAGGAAATAGAACTCCCTCCTCCAACCCCTCCACCACCACCAAGTCCTTATGGGACTGTCCCCAGGCACTTCTCATCATAGGTCAAGCCAATGTTTCAATCTCAAAGAATAACCATAAATTATACTTGGTTACAAATACATGGTGTCACAAACAGGGCTCTTCTGGTACATACCCTGCAATTTATCTAACTGTTCCTCTTTGGGTAAAGTCAGATCATTTCCAGTGTTTTGCTTACCACAGGAAATCTATGTCATATTTTACTCCATCGTTTTCATTTGCTGTGATCAGTATAAATGTCTAAAGATACTCCTTCCCTTCCCTTCATTCGGTTGATGGTAATGATTGGTGCGTATTGTTTTGCGGGGTTTTGTTTTTGGTTTGTTTTTGTTTTTGAGACACGGCCTCACTATGTAGTTGAGACTGACCTGGAACTCACTATGGAGCCCAGGCTGGTCTCAAACTCACAGCAATCCTCCTGCCTCAGCCTACCGAGTGCTGGGATTACAGGCGTGTGCCACCATGCCCAGCTGATTGATGCTTATTGAAGATTTAACCTTCTGCGAGACATTGTGTTAAGCCTTTCCAAGCATTAAGTCACACTTCACCCTGGACTTTATAGCTATAGATATCATTATCTATGTATTATAGATAAGTAGGCGCAAGAGATCAAGTAACTTGCCCGAGATCTCATGACTAGTACATAGCAGAGCTAGCTAGGATTTGAAATTGAGTTTATCACGATTTTAAAGTCACATGGCTCCTGTTACACTACATTGCCATTAATGCTTTGAAGCCATAAGATGACAACAGGGGAGAGTAAGAAATCAAGCTACACAACAAGGGCAGCCACAATGTTGAAGCACACTCGGGAAAGAGGATGCAGCTATGAAGCCCAGCAGTGCCAGAGAGCTCACTATGCGTGACTCATGCCCCCAAAAGGAACATACCGAAAGCTGGTGAGCTCCCCTGGCTACTGCATGGCTCCCCCTGGACCTCTAATAACTGAAACCCCTGGCTCTGCCAACCTCCCCTCTGCTCACATCCAAGAGACCAACCTCAGGATGCATGTGGGTAATATCCAACTCCAATTTCACAATGCATCTTCTGCCTACTCTTGGGATCCCAAATTCTGTCTTTGGAGATGTTTCCCTGCAGAAGTATGGTGACCCGGTGAGGTCACTGCACTGAGATGGTGGGGGACACTTGTGAAGGAGATCATTAATCTCCACATCCAAACTTGAAATCCACTGGTCTAAAAGTCAAGGACATATCTTTAAACAATGCACGCCATATTAATAAATGGATTATCTTGTAAGATTGCCTATTTGTAACATTGTCATTCCTAAAAACTATGCTCAGCTACATGGAGTGGGGGCTTGTAAGATTAGCAACAACAAAAATACTGTTTCAAATTGCGTATTGGCCATAGCCCATATTTCTGTGGACGATCAACTACGTACAAGGGAAGAGCTGAGAGCCTCAATAGCCATCTCTGATTCCCATTTCCTAAGTGTCCTGATTGACTTCCAAAGCCTCCGGGGTCACCCCATTGTGTGAGCACCCAGGGATCCTTGGATTCATGGGCTGCATTTCTTCACAGACAGTGGGATAGAAGCAACAGGCCTAGAATGTAAACCTTTACCACAGTTTCTAAGTGCTGTACCGACCTCAGACATCTATCAAGGAGCTGTGGGAACCAGCAGATGATCTCTAGACAATGTTCTTGTCCTCAAAGACATTTAACTAATGCCTTTTCCCTTGGTCTGTGTGGTTACCCTCTGTCCCATCGAAGAGAACAGATATCTTCCAGAAGAGGATAAGAATTCTGGTCAGCCTGAGAAAATAAAGTTTCATTAGACAACAGCTACTCTCATGGGAGCTTTGGGATGGGAGGATCGTCGGGCAGTGGTGGCCACAGAGCTCACCCACTCACTTGGCTCCTGGATCCAGCACATGAAATGCATTTCACCACTTTGCCTCTGGTTTCCTGGAGTTGCAGGAATTCTCTGCTAAGCGACTCATTAACATCAGACCAGCGCATTGCCCCCTCCAGCCTGGCAGCCTCTAGGAAGAGAGAATTACAACCCCCACACAGCCAGCCAGGCTGTTTCCATCAAATCACCAGCTGGAGAGGAACGGCAAATTCATCTTAATGCAAACAGCCTGGGCAGGAAAGATGCTGAAACATTTAGCCACTTGCTGTAAATGGCTGTCTGGGTCACCACCCAGGTAAGCAGGACTAGAAGCACATTGCAATGGGCATTTCTCATGGGCCTAACTCAGCTCCCCAAGATTTACAATCTGGTGCAGGTCTGCAGGGCAGAAACAAGGCAAGGAAGCAAAAGCCTACTCACAAAAAGTAGATTTTTCTTTTCTCCCACAGGAGTGTCTTGTGCTTATCCTTTCCTATCTCTCATCAGCTCTGTAGTCACTGGGTAAGCATGTGTCCTCTGAGTAGGGCACTAATCCCCAGGAGGACAGGAACCTGATCAATGCCACACTCAGCATTTAGTACCAGTGGTGCTCTGGACAGTGTGTCTTGGACATGATACTTGGGGAATGAGGCCACATCAGTATTTTGGGTGGAATTGTTGAGCACTTAGAAAGCTACAAATATTATCCTTCCAGAAGTATACACAATAGACTGGCATTTGCCACGTGTCACCTTGTGCAAACACCGGGCACTGGCATTGTGGGTGCCCTGCTCCCAGTGCAGAGGCAAGACTGTACGGAAACAGGAGACCGGCCCTGCTTTCAACAGATGAGGCCTCCTTAGCTCTCTCTCCTCTTCCCTTCTTCCTGTTGGGAAAGCCTCACTCCGTGGCAAGTTAGCAGTGGTCCTGGGAAGAGGATGGAGACCCAGGAGTCTGTAAGCACGGCCCCCAGACTGTGGCAGCACCTCAGGCTATGCTAGAAATACAACTTCCCTGGACCCAACCCAGACCTCCTGAGTCGTAGTCTGAGGCAGAGCCCA